TATAGTATACATTTAAATCAAAGGCCTAATAAAGTTGAGAATAACAATGTGTTATACTAGAAAAACATATTTGTCTATTGTTAATTACCCATTTTCAATCTATCGCTTTTTCCGAGCCTTACGCGTGAGTTGAGCAATTTTGCTATATCGTTAAATACAGTTGCCATTCCATCAAAGTTTAATACATTTTGTCCCACTCTTGTCGCGACTTGCTCTCGAACAAAATTCTATAATTTTTCATAATGAGAATTAAACTTTAAACTATACCTATTGGACTGTAATATAGAATGTATATAATCATAAATAAATAGTGTTTATTATACTTACAACTTGTGCTTCAGAAGGGGCACCTTGACCGTGCATGAAATACAACGTGACGCAGAAAAACAGTATAATGTTTTTTAAATGCATTGTTAGTTTTTAACAAAATTAAACTCGGATTCGGAATATTTAATTGTTAGTTATGAAACTATTCGAGAGTAGTACTCGCGGTGATTTTATAATGCAATGGGAATATTGTATTACTATGGTTGATGACTGTGAAGTTATCTTTACTAGCAATACCTTCTGTAAGAAAATACACTGTAGGAATGAGTGGCGGTGTCAAGTTTGTAACTATTGTACCGTCTCGTTGACGGTAAACAACACATGTGTAAGAACGTTTTTTATTTGCGTTGTGTGTAGTTTGTCAACCAAGCGCTCTCTTTCTGTTTGTATTTTAGAAATACTTACTTCACTCGCATTGGAAACCGTTTTCGTTCGGTTCGAAAGGGAAAATAATAAATAATTTTTTCGCCCAACTAAGTTCTTACACAAAAAAACAAAAACCTACCATACAAAACAGTACCTCAGTTCAGCTCCGCGTGGAAGCTGAACATAATATACTATATTTACATTTTTACAAGTTCATAATTTGTATACATTTTTTTTGCTCACAATTATCTTATCGATGCTAAAGAGATAATTTGAAAAATAAATTAGGGAAGTAAGGACGGGGGAAAGAAGAATATTGGGGGGGGGGGGGTGTAAGAATCACTATAGGTTAGTGGAAATTTATCATGAGTATTTTTCGATTTGAAAATTCAAGATGTATCATTTACTGTGCATACAAGTGTCCCACAATATATAACGTTTTAAAATTATTAGGAAAAAAAACTCCCGCCTTACCTAGTACTTACAAATAATAAATGAACACGTATCCATACCAATACAAAAAAATTGTAAAAAAAAAAATGCTAGACTCCTAAACAGCATTTGTTAAAACCGTATATCTTACAAAAAAACATATAATAGTTTTAAAACGTTAATTTTAACATTTAAAATTCACTACATTATCCACTAACCCCTTATTACGTTGGCTTATCAACGAGCCTCAACATTAGGTACATATTTATAGGAAATCATTAACGGATCGGAATTCTAAAATAGTGCACTTATACAAAAAAAATTGTCATTCAATCATCAGTACGAGAAGTATAATAAATGACGAAAACCCGAATGCAATGTAGGTTATCGAGTACTTTTGAGGGTAAAAAATGTATTCTGTAGTGATAAAATATAAATATTTTATAAGTTTTTAGACTTTTTGCAGTATAAATTACCATAAAAGTTGAAAAAAAAGGCAAAAAGTATTTGCGGGGGTAGCCGGATTTGAACCCGGTACCCACTCACTGCTGGGAACAGATCACGCTCGACCGCATCACATTTCGTTTTACCGGCGATCGTAAAATAGGTTTATTTAAAATGTATCAAAAGATATGTAAATGTGAAAGTCGATTAATAACATATTAGTATAAATAACTTATGTAGCAACGTATAGCTACATAAATTAAAGATTTCAGTTTATTTGATAGAGTAATATGTATCTTCTTCTTCGGTTTTTCAGAAGCCATTGAGGCCCATTACCGCAACACAAATTAGCTTCCACCTGTCTCTATCCTGTGCTACTGCTTTTAATGTTGTATTCCAATTTCTTGTAAAGTCTTTTTTACTTTGTCTATCCATCTTTGTTTTGGTCTGCCTAGTGGTCTTTTCCCAAGGGGTTTCCATTTTAATACCGCTTTCATTAGGCTATTTGACCTCCATACGTGGCCAGCCCATGCGATTCTTCTATATTGTAATACTGCTACTATGTCCGGTTCTTTATATAGCGGTTGTAATTCTATTTTGCTTCTATTTTCATATTGTTGTGTGATATTATTTCTTTTTGGCCCATATATTCTTCGTAGTATTCGTCTTTCAAAGATTGCTATTTTGTCTTCGTCTCCTTTGGTCGTTGGCCATGTTTCACAAGCATATAAAAGAACTGGTCTGATAATTACTTTGTAAAGTGTAATTTTCGATTTGATTGATACTTGTTTTGATTTAAATATGCTCGTTAACCCATAATAGCATTTACTCGCTGCAGTCGTTCTTATATTAATTTCTTCGTGATTATTATTTTTGCTATTTATTGTAACACCCAGATATTAAAAACTATGTACCCTTTCAAACTTAAAATCCTCAACTTCTATATGTTCTCCATGATTTTCTCGTCTTGATATTACCATACATTTAGTCTTTGATTCGTTGATTTGTAATCCGATGTCTTTACTATTTTTTATTAGCTCCTTCGTGCCCATTATTACTTCTTGTTTATTTGATCCTAATATGATAGTATCATCTGCATACGCTAAAATTCCGCATTGTCTTATGTTATCATCCAAGTTCAACCCATCATACTTGCTCTTCGTTTTATTTACTACCGTTTCTAGTGCTATATTAAAGAGTACTGGGGATAACGCATCTCCCTGTCGGAGTCCAGTCTTAACTTCAAATTCATCTGACATATGTTGGTTGAATTTAATTTTACATCTCGTTTTATCCATGCATAGTTTAATCATTTTCACTGTTTTGGACGGTATTCCAAAGGTTATGAGTGCATTCCATAGCACTTCCCTATTGACTGAATCATATGCTTGTTTATAGTCAACAAAAGTAGTAATATGTACTAGTACATATTACACTACATTGAGTAATATGTATACACCTTATTATCTGTTATTGTAGCCATCAAAAATTAAAAACAATGATTTTTTTCCTATTTGATTGGTTTTAGAAAAAATGTATCAATTTCAAAGTATATTGAATAATATTTAATACATACTATTTAAAAACCGATAATTTGTTTTTTTTTTTATCAAGTTCTATTCTACAAATCCTATAGTGTTAACATTTAATAGCAATATGTTTTATTTATTTTTATTATTAATGTATATTGTCAATGGTTTTTATTGAATTTAGTCATCATGTAGATAATTATAATGTTAATGGTTAACTGTTAAGTTATACACAATGAAAAAAAAATGTATATTACAATCAATAATGGAACGGGTTTATTTTAAAATATATACTTCCCAAACACTTTATATTATAGTTTGTAAATTTAATTTTTACATTCCAGTTAATTAGTTCAAATTTGTCTGTGTTTACTACAGTAAATGTACAAATCAACAATATCAGTTTCAGTATTAACATTTAAATTTTGTATAATGTCCACATAGGAAGTACATGTATAGTTCATAAAAGTCTTATAAATAACATATAGGCATGTATATGTCTTAATACACTCTATAACACAAAAACAATATAAATACAAACATATTAACTAATAAGTGATGATTTCATTTATAAAAATCAAGAGTACAATTTTTTTTACATGCAATTAATTGTTTCACAGAACTTTTGTTTGAGATTTCCTTGTCAAACAGAGTAATTACTTTCACTCAAATTACTTTCTAATATTTTAAAACAATTTCAACACTGTTGAACGGGTCCGCCGAGAGTGTTTCAAATAACAAAATATAAATACATCAATACAGATTTGATATTTTATATGTATGTTAACTGTTAATATTTGTTTGATTTTCTTTAAACTATTTTTGGTAAGCAAATGATAAATATCACAACTTCGATAAGTAGTTGTATAAAACCAAACACGTATCAAACAATGACTGAGTACCCATTTTTTGATTTAAAAACATTTTTAACGCTTGTCTGAAATCGGCCAATAGAGTAATACCATGTTAACAGATAAATGCCATTAAATATTATTGAAGTATAATACGGTTTGAATTAATATTTAATTTGAAACTAAAATTAAAATTGAATAATATTTAATACATACTATCTAAAAACCGACAAAAAAATTGTCAACATTTGTATTGTTTTTTTTTATCAAGTTATATCTACAAATCCTATAGTGTTAATATTTAATAGCAATACAAGTTTTATTTTTTTTATTATTAATATATGTATTGTCAATGTTTTTTATTGAATTTAGTCATCATATAGATAATTATAATGTGAATGGTTAAGTTATGCTCAATGAAAAAAAAATGTATATTACAATCAATAATGGAATGAGTTTAATTTCAAATATACACTTCCTAAACTCTTTATTTTATAGTTTGTAAATTTAATTTTTACATTCCCGTTAATTAGTTAAAATTTGTCTGTATTTACTACGGTAGATATACAAATCAACAATATAAGTTTCAGTATAACGTTTACATAACGGTGTAATGTATAACTAACCAATACAAAATGATATTTTATATTTATTTAGTTTTGAGGCATAATTTAAAAAAAAAAAAACATATCATCCCATTTGAAAATCGAAAGTTAATATCTATATCATCGATCTGGGAGGGCGTAACCGTAAAAAAAAATGTAGAAAATTGAGATCACTTAGAATAAGAAAGTTTAAAATTGAATGGTTCACGATAAGTGGATCACCCTGTACATAGTGACATTGGACAAATCTGTTTTTAAGTTTGTGCTATTTATTTATCTAAACTTTTTTACCTACGTTTGGTCATATGAGGTTATCATATTATCTTTTATAAAATTTAAATTCGCATGTTTATTTAGATATACACTTAAATGGCATCGCGCCGAAATAGTATCGACAAAAATGTCTTGAAAATTGCATTTTGAAAAATCACAAGACTAACGAGATATAAGAGCAAAAATAATTTATTAATCAATCAAGACTACATTAATATTGAATATGTGCTTTACTACGTGCATGCAGTAATTTAATAACAGTTAATATTATAAATAAACTATTCGGTAAGTAAATTATTAATGATGATTGTTACAACGTCTTCCGTAGTGTATGTGGTGTCTGAAATTACAAAATATTATTATGAATTTTTTAAACAAACAAAACATGCCAAATGAGTTGAAAATAACAACGTGGAACACTTTAAAAACATCTCAATAATAACGCAATATTAAATAAACGAAATCAGTGTGAAATTTATAATTTTCTTTCCCAAAAAAAAAAAAAAAATAATAATAAATAATGATCTTGTATCTCACATTTTTCTAATCGTTTTTTTTTACATTTTCAAAAGAAGGGAGCCTGTTTTTTTAATTTTTTTAGTACATATACGAGTTATGATTTTGTAGTTTAAAAAAAATTATTTATTCACAGCTATACGACTTTATTAATGAAATGTCTTTGCAATAGTTGTTTTTCAACATTTTACTCGACTCGTTTATTGAATATTATTCTATTGTTTTTATTACTGTAGTAGTGCTGTTTTAATTGCTCATCACTGGGGCAATGAACGGTTATTTCTTCAAATTCGATTTTTAAATCAGCGATTACACTTCGTACTTGCTCGAAGCCATAGGTGCCGTCTTCTTTTTCATCGTGTAAATTTACCACGTTTGTTATCTTTTCCTATTGTTAAAAGAGTATAATTAGTACCCGTTATAGTTATAAGAATGTAACCTGTCTTGCATAGAACAATTGAAATATTCAATATTTTAAATATCTCCTTACACGAGCAACCTAACGGGCCTCATATCTTGTAATATAGTATTGTAGTTTTTATTTACCAATACAGCCGGATCTTCTGAACGCACGTACAATTGCGCCAATTCTTCGACTTGCTGCTTTGTAAAAAACCGGTCTGAAAGTACAAAATATTATAGTATCTTTTAACCGAAAGCCTGATGAATTGAGAAAAACAATGTGGAACGCTTGAAAAACATCTTAATAATAACGCAATATTAAATTACACGATAGTAGTGTGAAATTTATAAATGTCTTTGCAATAGTTTTTCAACATTTCAACTCGACTCATTTATTGAATATTATTCTATTGTTTTATTACTGGAATAGATCTCTGTGATTTCTTCATCATTGGGATAATGAGGGGTTATTTCTTCAACTTCGATTTTTATATCACCGATTACTCCTTTGAGTTGCTCAAGACAATATATGCCGTCTCCCTTTACATCATGTCTGTTGACCACGTATGCTATCCTTTCCTATTTTTTTTAACAGTATAATAAAATATAGCAGTGTTGTTAATATTATAATTAATCATTTTGTAAAAGTAATCGGTAATCATTGATCATTGACAAAAAAAATAAAATTTAAGTCAACTAATTTTTTTTTTTTTTTTGAGGGGGGGAGCTAAATATTTATTAAGGGCCTAAACAAGAGCCTAAAATACCATGTGCGATGTAAAAACAAAAACATGCTTACATTTTATGCATTGTGATTAAATAATTGTCAATACATTTTAATAGTAATTAACTATTAATTATCTTAAAACAGGATAGATTTTAATGGCTTAGCCATGTTGGCAGTTCGTAGAAATATAAGACGAATAGAACTCAAAAAATAGATTTTCTGTTGTAAAATTATTATTTAAAAAAGTTATTTTGTATTAAATTTTCAATGTATATTATATTATAAAAATATATATAACTATAAAGTATGTTATAACATAAAATATATAACTGTGTACAATAGTAGGTATATTCAAAAAAAGAGTAAACTTGGATGAGGCGTGTAGGGGGCGTTGCTCCCCACTTTATGTTTACTCAGGAATACTTCAATCTCCCCCCCCCCTCCAAAAACAAAATCATAACCACGTCACTAATCAATTTCATAGTAGTTAAAAATGTTTTATATCAATTGAATTCTCCCTTTCCGTGTCAAAAAGAAGGTTTCAATATTTTAAATATCTCTTTACACAAGCAACCTAACGGGCCTCATATCTTGTAATATAGTATTGTAGTTTTTATTTACCAATACAGCCGGATCTTCTGAACGCACGTACGACCGGGCCAATTCTTCGATTTGCTCCTTTGTATATAAACGGGCTGAAAGTACAAAATATTATAGTATAATATCTTTTAAGTAAAGGCCTAATGAGTTGAGAACAAACAATGGGTTATACTAGAAAAACATACTCGTCTATTGTGTATTACCTATTTTCAATTCTTCGGTTTTTTCGAGCTTTACGCGTGAGTTGAGCATCTCTGATATATCGTTAAATATAGTTTGCATTCCATCAAAGTTCAATATATTTTGCCCCCCCGCTCTTTCCAAGACTTTTTCTCGAATCCAGTCCTATTTTTTTTCATAATGAGAATTTATAACGTATAGAGTCATAAAATATAAATAGTGCTCTTTATACTTACAATCACTACAGTATCGATGACACCTTGACATTGCAAGAAATATAACGTGACGCAGAAAAACGGTATAAAATGTTTTAAATGCATTGTTAGTTTTTAACAAAATTAAACTCGGATTCGGAATACTTGATTTGTTAGTTTTGAAACTATTCGATAATAGTACTCGAGGTGATTTTATAATGCAATGGGAATATTGAGCCACCGTGGTTGATGACTGTGAAGTTATCTTTACTAGCAATACCTTCTGTAAGAAAATACACTGTAGGAATGAGTGGCGGTGTCAAGTTTGTAACCATTGTACCGTCTCGTTGACAGTAAACAACACATGTGTAAGAACATTTTTTATTTGCGTTGTATGTCGTGTGCCATCCAAGCACTCTTTTTCTGTTGGTTTTTTAGAAATACTTACTACACTCGCATTGGAAACCGTTTTCGTTCGGTTCGAAAGGGAAAATAATAAATAATTTTTTGGCCCAACTAAGTTCTTACACAAAAAAAAAATAAAAACCTACCATACAAAACAGTACCTTAGCTCCGCGTAAAAGCTGAACATAGTATACTATATTTACATTTTTACAAGTCCATAATTTGTATAAATTTTTTTTGCTCACAATTATCTTATCGATGCTAAAGAGATAATTTGAAAAAGAAATTAGGGGAGTAAGGACGGGGCGAAGAATAATATTGGGGGGGGGGGGGGTGTCGCATAGGAATCACTATAAGTTAGTGCAAATTTATCGAGAGTTTTTTTCGATTTGAAAATTCGAGGTGTATCATTTACTGTGCATACAAGTGTTCCACAATATGTAACGCTTACCTAGTACTTACAAATAATAAATGAACACGTACCTATATTCCAATACAACAAAATTGTGAAAAAAAATTTGCTAGACTCCTAAACAGCATTTATGAAAACCGTATATCTTACAAAAAAACATTTATAATAGTTTTAAAATTTTAATTATTACATTTGAAATTCGCTACATTATCCACTTACCTCTTAATATTTTGCCCTTTCAACGAGCCACAACATTAGGGACATATTTATAGGAATTTCTATCATATGCTAAATTATATAGAACTAGGTTAGGTATATTATTCAGTTCTTCTAGCCAATTATTTACCGGTGGTAATCACTTTCAAGCGAATGCTACGGTGCGAATCTGTGGCCACTTTGTGATGGTCTGATTGTAATGATATCACATTGAGATTTAAAAAATTTATATGATCCAACTTTGCTGACTTATTCTATAAAGTACCGATTTAGACTGTACTTGAAATGAACCGTCCTACATGTATAACATAATATTTCCTATGGCTATTGCAATAATTACAAGCAGAGTTGTGCATCATCATTCGAATAAAACATTATCTAGATAATACATTATTCGAGTAAAAGTTATTCGAATAACGTTCAACTATATTATTTAAGTAGTTTTCAATTAATTATTTTTTTAAACATTATTTCTCACAAATCTAATGTAGGATTATACTACATTTACAAAATATATAAAAAACAGTATGTAAAGGTAAACTTATTGCAAAAATGACTATTCGAATAAGAATATGCACAGCAACATCGAAGCTAAAAATTAAAAAACAGCTCCGACAAAATATTATTATTCAATAACCATATCATTAGTGTACAACATAATGATGTATAGAATTTAAAATATTTTGTTTTTCGTTCACACAATCGGTGGATGCGATGAGCTGTTGCGGTTTAAAGTTTCCCAGGATAAAAAAAAAAATGACTAATTACAAAAATGATGTTTTCATCATACCACTATATATATATATAAATATAAATATGTACTGCCGTCGGTTTATATTAATTTACATTGTTAAATTCGTATAGTCGGCCGATTAGCTATTATACCTACATAATATATTGCATGGAGATTGAAGACCACACGCAGCAAATAAGTTATAAAGAAAATAGATCCTATGTATATAATATTATTACATACCTACCTACTTACTGTAGGTAGCGCGTTAAACAATCTGGTTGTTGTTTGAGACGGGGGCCCGTCGAACAAATATAATAGGTACTTCTGACAATTTCTTACACTGACCCCAGGGCACTTGGACACAAAAAACCTAAGAGTTTCACCATATTCGGTCGGCGGTGGCTCAATCATAATTACCGTACAATTATAATTATTAATATTAGCGGCCAAGTCGCACGCTAGGCACTCCCCGACCACTCCGACCAGGGGGACCGACAGTATTAATAATAATGATAATAGCTGCATGATAGCTGTATGTGTACTTGATTATCATTCGCCACCGACTGGGTACAAAATTATGATATTATTATACATTATTATGTAATAACATATTTATATTATTATCCAATTCTTGCCGGCCACGGTGATATCGTTACTATATTATATTACACAAAATATAATATACAATCGGACTTTCTCTTCTCGTTGCTGTATCTCACATACAAACACACATTTCGCGTTACTCGCTTGTGTGGATCCGCTACCATTCATCTTGATCATACACGACTCGTTTGTACATATTATACTTCTCTCCCCCGAGGCGTCCGATTCCGTGTACAACACAATTTAACGCCAATTTTTCCACTCTCGCCCGTCTTCTCGGTTGTCTTTTTATCATAATATAATATATGTAGGTAGTGCTCTATTCCTACGGCCGCATATAAGGAGACGGTCTCGCCTATATTCCTTCGTACATACGACGGCTTTCTCGAACCGTCACTCTCCAAAGGGTGCCAAACTTCTCTCAAAACGTTCAACTTTACACCTAAGCCAATACCGTCTTGTCCACCGCTCTAATGGTCAGACAAACGGTTCACTAGTGTTACCATAATAATATATATTGTATATTAGACTGTCAAAAATAAATTGTATTGGTTATTAAAATTTCGACCTTCTATAGCTACGGACTTTAAGGCTAAAAAATATATTTCAGCAAGTTACAGCTCCTTTTTTTTATCTATTTATGCATGTGTACAATTATTAACATTCTGTAACAGAGTGGATGTAAGGTTGAATATTTTTCAAGTGCACAAATTTGTGGAAAAATTCAAATTTACCATGTTATTGCTCCTCTTGTGTCATTTCTGTCCCTGTCATAGTTATTCGAATAACAGAATTTGAAATTATTCGAATAACATATCATTCGAATAATTATTTTTTCAACTATTCGAATAACTTTTACTCGAACAATGTGTTATCCAGATGCAAATTATCTAGATGATGTTTTTGATTCGATTGACGGCCAACTCCGAACGCTGTGCGTGCAAAATACCGTTAATGTATTATTGTAATAATATGCGATCCGGGAAAACCCGAGCAAGTACATAATCCCCCACGTAGATTTATATGCCACACCGACCGAAAAATAGGCGGACAATAGTGATTGGATGCACTAGTATATTAAGTACTACTACTTGCGGTCATGAAATTTTTATACGCCGGATGGAACACCGTCGGTACACTCGTGTACATAAAGCAATGGTGTACGGCATCACATATATATATATATATATAATATTGGCAATGATCATATTTATACGGTTGTTTAAAGGTTTAGCCAAGGGCCGTTCCCGATAATTCCCTGGCGGCCAATAAATTCAACCCCCGTTGCGGCGGCGTTGTGTTTCTGCTATTTTTCAATTTTTTTTTTCTCTTCTTTCCTACTTCCTTTATTTAGTAGGTACGTATAAAAAATGTATATAATATACACACGTATGTTTTATTTTTTTGCCCTTTACATTCCAAGGATGCACGCACGCACGCCGGCCGGATGGTGCACTATACTGGCCGCCGCTTCTTCGTTGTTTATGGCTACAATTCATCGGCTCTCCAATCGCTCTGGATGTGTGCCGTCCCCCCCGCGGAGAGTGTTTTTTTTTTTTTTATTTACACACAAGTGCACATAAAGTTTTACGTAGGTCAATATAGTTTTACGACGATTTTACATTATCGAAACGTGTATAATATGTAAAAAAACACAAGACTTGTGCGGAAATTACATTTTTATTTTTCAAACCAAACCGTTTTAAATCACAAGGTCGCCCGGCCGGAGTTGTGCACAATCATCATCATCATTCGAATAAATTGTTATCCAAATAATCATCTATAGATATCACATTGTCCATGTTAAAGTTATTCGAATGATTTTTCATTCGAATATTCCAAACATAATTATTCGAATGAAAAGTTATTCGAATAATTTCAAATTCTGTTATTCGAATGAAAAATTAATCGAATAATTTCAAATTCTGTTATTCGAATGAAAAATTAATCGAATAATTTCAAATTCTGTTATTCGAATGAAAAATTAATCGAATAATTTCAAATTCTGTTATTCGAATGAAAAATAAATCGAATAATTTCCCAAAATTGTATTTATATACAAATGAAATTCTTTAGGCTTTTCTAGAAACTCCAGAAAATAATTACAATAATAAAACATCCAGTTATTGTTTGACATAAAGAGACATTTAAATATATGTATACATTAACATTAATGCTGATTCTTGTAGAACATAACATAGGGATGGTTTTCTTACTGAGTTTATAGGGTAAATAAAACGGGGCAAGTCCACCTAAACTTGGTTCTCATCAATTAAGTACAATATTTGTAGTAGATTTTCGGTCAATATTCCCGGGCAAGACTGTTGGACTATTAGATATAAAATGAATAAATATAAAACTATGTAAGACTATATTAAAAATGTGGCGACAAAACTGCGCTTAACGATACAAACATATTATGTACAAAACAAGCGGACGACGCGTAGAAATATAAGTAAATAACACCAGCTATTACCGCGTTAATTTATGGCAAGTTTGAAATTGTGGTTTTTTTTTTTAACTCTTTTTCGAACTACCCGGAAGAAGGACACTGACACTACCGTAAACGTCAACACTACGGTTCTTTGAAAACGCGGTCAACCAAGTGCTAACCGCGTTTAGCCCGTACGACGAAATAATTATTATTTTACTGGAACTTTTCAATTAGAAAAAAAAAAAAAACTCCCATATTATTATACTCTTCCGCTTTACCGATCACATAATATACAGTGTGTGTGTGTGTGTGTAATAACTGTACGGTTGGAAAGTTGTGTATAGGCACCTACACACTTAACGCGTGTGCATATATTATAATATATATATATATTAAGTATACAACTTTATAATGTAGTATTCGTGTATACAGCGAATATGTAATAATACAAAACCGAGACCTTGCGCGGTGATATCGCGTAACGAATCATTAACTTAATATATATTTTAAAACCGCCG